TATTATTATTATTATTTTTATTTTTAATAAAATGCTGAAGTGGTAGGTAGATGCAAGATAAAGGTAGAAAACATAGTTTAGTGTTGTAAGAGAGCAATTGTAGATGATCAGGTGTGTGCCTGTAGACTATGTGTTAATCCGAGCTAGACAAGGGCAATAAAACATCCACGGATGCAGAAGATTTCTCCCAAAACAGGTGGGGTGAGGTTCTAAGCTTCAACACTGTTGATCCCCAATTCCTCACCTGATGGCCCCCCTGCGACTGTGCCTGTCTTAGGTTGTTCCTCCCTTGAGGAATCTTACCCGTCTCTCCTAAGAGCCTTTCTTGATCTCCGGTTTCAGCGTGACACGGTCCAGTGCCTCACTGGCTTCACAGATGGCAGGTTTGCCTTGCAGCCTGACCCACCATCCAGACAAGACCTCTTGGCAGGCCTCTGCTCGGCATCCTCATCTGCAAAATTAAATGAAACCCTGAGCACTCCAGCCTCTCAGGGGTACTTGGACGCACCTGAAACCCCTAAGTCACCGTCAAGTACAAGGTCACGGGCGGTGTCAGGGCTCTGCTGCCTCTCACCTAGTCTGATATTGTACATGGCAGAGCTCACGGGCCATGAGCAAACTGCTGGCAGATCCTTGAAAGCCCAAGCGGCACGTAAACCCAGTGGGAGCACAGTGCCCTCTGCCTCCGGCTTGTGGGAGCCGCAGCCCGAGGAAGGTGTCCTGTGCAGCCTCCTGCCTCCGCTGCCCCTCTGCCCCTGGGGGTCTCCCTCCACTGCCCCCTGCCCAGGTTTCAGCCCTCGGAGCTGCACCCATAATCTCCCTTCCCATCAGAATCCTTAATTTCTCTGAGCTCCTGATCTCAAAAGTTCAGGTGTGTCCTCAGGGAAGGAAGCAGGCAGCACCCCGGCGTGTGTCCGTTAGCCCTCCGCAGCTCCCAGGGGGCACCCGCACTGTTACTGATCCGTGATGGATGCAGCGCGTGTGCAGGTTCAAGGGCCTCCCCACTGGCCCCTGGGTCGGCCAGACAACCGCAGCTCCATCAGAAGAAGCCGTTTAACATCCCCGCTTCTGCAGTGTCCCCACTGTGCAGATGCACCTCATCACCGCCTCCATGGCGACCCAGCGAAACGGCCCAGGGCCCCCGCCCGCAGCCTGCGTCGGGACTGGCTGCGGGGGACCTGCGCTGCGCCGCCTGCATCCCGTGCTTGCTGCCCTGTGCTGGGTTTTCCCTGGGGACCGCCTGCTGGCGGGCATGGAGCCACACAGTGCCTCCAGCAGGATGGGCAGTGCCGCGCATCTCCCCACTCCAGTGTGCAGTCGATCGTTTCAGTATTCTGATTTAGAATTTGTCATAATTCAAAGGCCTAAACTTCTTTTTTACCTTTAAACTTTCTTAGAGTTCCGCTTGTGGGCTGCTTCAGAAAATGTCAACTTACTCTTAAACGTCGTCATGCCCCTGTATCCTCAGAGCTCAGAACTTATCTGAGCACGTGCAGCCTTCCATTCAGTCCATTTCCGAACACGGCAGGGAGCTCTACGGGCCTTGCTCTGCATGGGGAGGTAGCCCGCGCCCTGGTAACCCGCCTCCCGGTCTCACCCGCAGCTCTGCCGCCTGGAGCGCCACCGATCCCCGGGCCGGTACCAGGGAACCCTGTTTGCCGAGCAGCCGATGATGTTCATCTCTCCGGCCAGCAGCCCCCCCAGAAACAAGCTGGGGGAGCTGGTCCTCCTGTGCGGGGGACAGGTCACGCGTGTCCCTCGCCAGGCCGGCATCATCATCGGCCCCTCCCGAGGAAGGAAGACGACAGCCAAGCATCTGTCGGAAACATGGATCTTAGGTAGGAATCCGCACTCAGGCCGCCGCGGGTCCAGGGGGCTATGAGGGGGTGGGTGGAGCAGGCACCTTGGACTGCGGGGCCACTGGGCGGCCTCTGGATTGATAGCTCAGGCCCAGCGCCTCGGCGTCCGCACAGGCCTGTGAAGCATGGGTCACAGGGACAGGGGAATCCCGTTAGATTCCTGTCTCCCCAGAGCTGCGCACACCCGCAGGCTGGCCCAGGGAAGCAGAGGGCGCCTCACGTGGGGACCAGACACGGGCTCTGCCCCAGGAACTGTCTCTGCTTCCCCCACCGCCTCCTGACGGCTCTCTGCGACTATTGCGGCTGCCCTGATGAGGCCCTACAGATGGGCTTCCCCGCCCCGGCCCTACAGGCCGGGTCCAAGCACGGGGGTCCACAGGCCCCCTCGGCATGTGGACGGCTGCCTTCTCATGGTGTCTTCATGGGATTGTCCCCCTGGCTGGGTCTGGGTCCCCTCCACGTATAAGGACACCAGTCAGGCTGATTAGGACGCCCTAAGAACGTCATTGAATCTCCTCCCTAAAGGTCCCCCTCCCAAGCAGCCAGCTTCGGAGGTCCTGTGGGTCAGAGCTGCAGCACATGGACCTCGGGGGTGTCACACCGAGTCACCTGTCCCAGCCCCTTTGGCGACCACCCTCACCTGGCTGCTCGAGCCCTGGGAAGTGGATTTTCTCTCCCTCCCCGCTTCTGCGGCTCCCCAGTCCTCCTGGCCTCTCAGTCCCAAACGGGGGCTGCCCTCGCGCCTTCCTCAACACAATCCTTTAGCAGATGAGTAGAGGCTGTTCGCCCAGTGCAGTCGTGGAGAACTACAGTTTATATCTTTTAAATGATCTGATCGCCATGCTTTCCAAATACTATCAAAGGATGACCATCAAGTCTTTTTTTTACTATCTGATGCCAACCGATTTTTATTTTGCCTGGAAGCCAGTATTTTTTTTAAAGAACTCTGATTTTAGTTAGCTACAGTCCAAAAGCCAAGAGGCTGTTTGCTCTTTTCTAAGTGCCAAGAACACAACCTCCAAAGCATCCTCTATTCTCAAACAGGTTCTCGTTCATTTGTGAGAAAAGCACATGTATCCAAACGACACCGACTAGGGTCCAGAACCGTGCTTTAAAGTCTCATTCAGCTAACGGACTGTGCAGAGGATCGCTGTCCTGGGCCATCCCGGCAGCTTGTCTTTCAGAGTCCGTGAGCCGGGTACTGTGCTGAGGGCCGGCGCCTGGGGCTGCGCTCTTACTGTCCGGGTGGGGGCCTCGCTGGCCCCTTCCCATCCCCGGGCACGTGTGCACAAGCCACGCCTGCTTCAGCTGCCGCCTGTTCCTGCAGAGTGCTGCTCAGCTCTCCTGCCAGGGGGCCTCCGGAGGGGAAAGTCTGCCTGCTTGACTCCACGGTGTCACTCATGAGGGCCTCCGAAATTGAGTTTCAGAGCTGGACCTGTGGACCCAAGTTTCTGTTCCCTTCCTCTCCCGTAATGCATGTCCTGTTCCTGATTGGTCACTGATTACACCATCGGCGTGTGCCCTTGGCAGCATCCAGGTATTGTGTGTCCTGCAGGCCTTGGCCCTCTTTGCGGTGAAATCTTTACCCAGAGACGAGGCCCCCTTGAGTCTCGGCCAGTGCCTGTCTGCCCCAGGTCCTCTCCAGCCTGGCTGCCTGGGTGTCAGACATGTCATTTTCAAATATTGATTAGTTTTTATTCTCTTTCTGAACTGCATCACACTAGCTCCAGCCTAGTACCAGTAAAGGAGATTGCATTTTTATGCCCCTACACGTACGCACAGACTCCACAGCGCAGAGCCCAGGGCAGTGCATTTCCTGCCTGTCACAGCTCTGCCACCAGCTCATTCTCTGACCAGAGGGAAATGACCTCCTCTCTCTGTAAAGCAGTGATGACCTCAGCGCTGCTCGCTTCACCTGCTGAAGGGTCACTTCACAGCAGGGTCACAAGAGTGCAAAATATGCACCCACAGAGGGCACTGTTCTGGTGGGTGACTGTGTCCTGTCGTGACTGACACGCAGAACAGTCATCCTTCACCCTTTGACAAAGCAGTATTTTCTCTTTTGAAGACCTTTCTCCTTCCCGTCAGCTTCTATTATAAATACGTCTAGAGAATATTTTAACTCTACAACATCTGAGAATAAAGACTAAAACCACTTTAAAACTAAAACCATGTTAAACACCAATTTAAGAGAGTAAGTTATTTTGTGATATATTGTGAAAAGCAATACTCAAAATTTATAAATTAAATTTGCTCCAACTGAAATATAAGCTTCTCTGTGAGGTAGAGCCCCTGAGACTTATGAATAGTTGGAATAGTTAAAGGTCTTAAAAGTAGCTTGTGTCCACTTACAGTCACCTTCCAAAATAAGTATTCTAGGTTTTAGTACCTTCATATATATTCCTGAATTTTACGGGGTCTTTATTTCTGCAGGCACAATGAAGTTGCAGGGGATGGACAAGCATATTTTTTTAGCCATTGGAAACTTTGAGAATGCCCCTCTTTTTTGGCAAAGGGAAAAGTGGGCACCAGTGTACACAGACCCCAGTACCCCCAGCACCTAGCACTGTGTGTATTCATCAGATCAGATAGAATAGTCAAAGGCTTTTTTAAAACCCTTGAAATAAGCAGTCTAGTTATGAGAACTGCTTCTAGCCTCTGCCTCTCTCTTCGGGAGGGACACGGCTCTCAGCCGGCTTGCGCTCCAGCTCTGCCACGGAGCAGAGTGGAGTCATGAGCTCCCAGCCCAGCCACCCTGTGCTTCCCTGGATGCCGAGGCGCCTCAATGGTCATGGTCAGTTCCTGACTCGTTCCCCAGAGCCCATTTTCCCTGAAACAGCGGAGTGCGTTGGCCAACATCCTTGATGAATCATTCAACTAGAACGAGAAGTGAGGACTTTTTAGAGAGAAAATACTTGTGGGTATTTGAATATGAATGAAAATAAACAGGAAACAGCACTAGACAGCAAAATGTTAACTTTACCTGATACTGAAATGAAAACATCTTCCAGTAACTCTTTTTACCCCAGCTCCTCATCAAATGGAATTCCCATTGGGTGTGTAAGAAGCTGAGAGCTGGGCTCTCACGTCCCGGGGCTCATGGGCTCACGGGGTGCACACCATGGTCTGCCCTCTGCTGTAATCGTTTCTGCTCATGCTTTCCATCCCTCATCCACGTTATCACTTAAGGTTGGGTTGGCCTTTCCCACAAGACATATTTCCACTCTCAGGCCCCTTTTATTGTCTGGGCCGTGTTCAAGTGATAAGACATACGGTTTATGCTATTGTGGGAACATAATGTAATATTCTCAGCAGCATTGCCAAAAACTAAAAAGTTCAGCCTCAGCATGATTTCCTTATAACTTGTAAGACACATTTGATTTGAATGTCTCCCCATGTCCATGTTTTCAGGAAAAAGATCCCTGATAGCACATGGGCTTTTACATACCAGCACAGATCAGTTTCCCCTGACGGACAGCCACAGAGCGATGCCCAGAAAAACGCAAGCTCATAGTGTGGCATTTTGTGAAAGCGAAAGAAGTCTCAGACCTTAGGGTTCCACAGAGAATGTCAGGGTTCTTCAAGAGCATCTCAGGGCACATTTCCATTGGATGGATAAGGAAGCGGTCACCCAGAGGCGGCCATTCACTGAGGACAGAGAGCAAAGGAGAACAGGCATGGAATCTACCAGGATAGAAATGACTGAAAACTAAGACTGATTCATGGAATTTCTTAATCTCAGTATCTCATGTGCTTAATTTTTTTTTAACGTATCATTATTTGTTTCTTTTTAAAAATTAACTGCTAGCTCCTAGAACAGTATTTCAGCATTAGCCTTGTAAAGATGGAAGTCGGTTTCTAAGCTTCCCCTTTCACCATACCCACTGGCCAGCCGCTGGTCCCCCAAGCACTGGCTGGGAGTGGTACAGGTGATATAAAGGCCAAGAAGCACGTCACAGGCAAGGAAAATAAAAGACACTTCTCTGCCCCTCATCAGCCAAGGCCTGGTCCTCAAACCTCATTCAAAAAGAAAATCAGCTGCAAATTGGACTCAGAATGGGAAAAACTTTGCAGCAACATTTTATATCCATCTCTAGAAATGTAGTCGTCCCTTTGGGGAATCAAACTAGTCACTGTATGTCATCACTGAGCACTTTGGTTGGGACAGGCTGATGAGACCCCCCCATGTACCACTTCTCGGAGCGCTTGCACACATGCCCCAGTGCGGGGGCACAGCCCCGTCCCGGCCAGGGTCTGTGGTTCACGGGCATGAAATGAACTTCAGAGCTCCGTCTCCTGGGAGGAGTTGGGCTGTCTTTGCTCACAGACCTGGTTAGATCCGGGTCACAACTGAGAGAGACCTTGCTTCTTCTGGAGCACAGTGAGCGTCAGTTCTTTTTTGCTGCAGCATATTAGAGCTCGTGTAAGGGACTGGATTGCGTCCCCCCAGTTAATATGTGGAAGTTCTCACCCCTGTGCCTAGAATGGGGCTGTATTTGGAGGTGGGCCTTTAAAGAGGTGGTCACGGTGAAACGAAGCACGGACCCAACAGGACCACTGCCCACAGAAGCAGAGGCACTCAGAGCAGACACCACCTGAGGCAGAGCACACCAGTCCCAGGCCCAGGAGAGCGGCCCCAGAGAGCCCACCCTGCTGACTTCCTGCTCTCGGACACACAGCCTCCAGGGCTGAGAGGATGGTGCCTGCCGGGGACGCCCCGTCTGGGCCCAGCAGGCAGATGCTGTTCCAAGCACTTGTCTCCCCCACAGACACACCAAAAAGGCCACAAGCAGCTGTCTGAACCAGCACTGTAGGTACCCAGGGAACAGTCAGAGGCTTACAGCAGCCTGGCAGATGCCCTGTCAGCAAAGCCGTGTCTGTGGCAGGAGGCAGTCTTACAGCTGTTGACTCAGGCCTGACAGCCTCAATTTCCCATTTGCCCTCCTTGGACGCAGACATATTTGTTCTATTCTGCCTGGGAGTCGCCGGCAGGGCTGACCTGCTCATCTCTGGCTCAAATAACTGAAACACCTGCAGGGAAGACAGTGCACACTGCCCTCAAAGCTACAGGCAGGCATCAAAAGTAAAGACCAGTCAGACTACTACAAATGTAAAGCTTCCTGGCATCAACCAAGTGAAAAAAGGTAACCTATGGGATGGGAGAAAAGAGTTGCAAATAACAGGGATTAACTGAAAAAATATAAAGAACTCCTACATTACAACAACAAAAATCTGGTTAAAAATGGACAAAGAACTTCATTAGACATTTCTGCAAAGAATTTGTACAAATGGCCAGAAAACACATGAGCAATGTTCATCGCTACTAATCATTAGGGAAATTCTTATCAAAACCACAATGAGGTACACTGTAGCCTTAGTACAGTGGCTGCTGTCAAAACACAGAAAATGACGAATGTTGGCAAGGATGTGGAGAAACTGGACCTCATGCACTGGTGGCGGGAACATAAATTGGTGCGGCCACTGTGGAGAGCAGTATGCCAGGTCTTTGAAAGATGCGACAGAACTCCCACACGATCTGGCAGTGCCAATTCTGGATATTTTTTAATTCAAAGCAGGGGCTCAAACATGTGTACACCCATGTTCACAGCAGCCTTATTCACAACAGCTGAAAGGTGGGCAGCAACCCAGGTGCCCACAGACAGATGAATGGACACACAAAATGTGGCACATACAGCAGAATGTTAGTCGGCTTTGAAAAGAAAGGATATTGCGACACATGCAACATCATGAATGAAACTTGAAGACCCTATATCGTGTTAAGTGAAATAAGCCCATCACAAAAGGTTATTACATGATTCCACATCCTTGAATTACCTAGGATAGACACATTCATAGAAACAGAAGTTAGAGAAACCAGGAGAAGGAGAAGATGAAGTTACTGTTTAACAGGCACGGAGATTCTGTTTGGGATTCCGGAAGTGGCTGGTGGTAATGGTCACACAGCATCGTGAATGTACTTAATGGCAGCAGATTAAAGACTTAAAAATGGTAAATTTTATGTCATGTCTGTTTTACCACTCAAAAAAATTGTTTTTAAGACACCTTCCCTAAGTAGTAAGTTTTACCAAATATTACAAGTTATTGAAAAACAGATAAAGAGGGAGGCTGTTCACCTCATTTTACAAGGTTAGCATGATTTTGACCTAATGTTAGTATAAATAAATAAATATACAGCTTAAACTCACTTGTAAATATAGATATAAAAATCCAAAGTATTTGAAAATTAAATTTAGCATTGTATTAAGAAACGTATAAATCAAGTAGGGCTTAACCTAAGAACATAAATATTAAATCCTTTTTTCTAATCCATTCATTTTCAGTACTGTTAAAAAGCATTAGACAAAATCCAATACCCAGTTATGATAAAAACTCTTCATAAACAAGGAATAAAGGAACTTTCTTAATTTGATGAATGGTATCTATAAAAAGCCTACAGCATGTAATTAATGTTTATCATTGAAAACCTCAGTTTAGGGTTTAAGTCAGGTACAAAATATGTCTGCTCTCACCCTTACATTTCAACAGTGTTTTAAATATTTTTAAAGAGAAGCAGAGAGAGTGATTTTGGGTTGTGGTGGTTCAGGTGGTCAGTGATGGTGGTTAGGACTAGGTTAATATCGATGGAGGTGGTGTGAGAATATCAGATTCTAATGAAAATTCTAGAGCCATTTGGACCTGCTAATGGACTGTCCACGGTGTGTTAGGGATGACAGGTGGCCCGTGGCACAGCAGGAGGAAAGAGTCAGAGATGCCCCCCAGCCCTGAGTTCTGAACGTCTCAAGAACCATGAGGTTTCTAGGGATTGGGATCTGTGAGGAGGTACTGACGGATTGTGGTTTACTGCACGGACGGAACCCACGAGCCCTCCAGGCCAAGGGGGGCAAAGGTGCTTGCTCAGCATGGGCCAGGGGGCAGGGAGGTCCACAGTGCACAGCAACAGGCCGCGGGAGCACGGGGATCCGCCGGAACCTCCTGCTCAGGGCCGTCAGTGCCAGCCCTGCCCTGCGGGACCCCCATTCCAGAGGGAGAGGGGCAAGTCCTTCACTGAAGGGCTCTCTGGCTACAGAGCCACTCACGTTTCTCCCAGCCCTGAACTTCTTAGCCTATTTTGATGAGGCAAAGCGCCCAGTAGGGTCCTGAATGTTCTTGGACTCTCTACGCACAGTTACAATGAGCCACATTTGGTTGAGGCCTATTTCCCCTCCTTAAAATCCTGAAGTGAAAACCACATTTCTTAGCCTCGTCCACAAGGACCTGGTGACTTCGCCAACTTAACCAGTGAGGGGCACGAGTGATAGGAAATTTTCAGCCCCTCTGGACACACAGCGTCTCCTCTCTTCTCTGCCTGGGCCTGAAACGCCAGTCCTGTGCGCCTCCTCGAGCCCATCCACCAGTTCGCCATTTGGGTCTGAACTCACACACAGCTCCTCAGCAAAGAGCCCGGCTCAGCCCCTCTGCAGACCCCTGCCCTTTCACCCATGGCCTTTATCACCACCAGGATTTTAAAAATCGTATTGTCATCTTCAGAATGTAAGTCCCCCAGTGGCAGGGACTGTATCTCCCTTGCCAGCTGCTGTCCTGGGAACGCCTAGATATGCTGAACACATGGTAGGTGAGGGAAAGAGCTCAATCTAAAATAATGTAACAGTTGTCAGCATTTGTCCTGCTCTGATTTTGGGCTGCAGACATTCATTTATCTGATACATTCACAAAGAATTTGGGCTGTCACAGACAAGACAGTCCGTGGTTTATTGCCAGCACGGCAGCTCTTGCTTCCCACCCAAGAAATCCAAGTAAATGACGTTACAAGGCTAGCCTTGAACTCACTATTTTTATCTATTACAGTTTATATTTATTTATTACTGGGTATAGGAAAGCGAATGATTTTAGTAAACGTATCTTATAAAGACCAATCTTGCTGAATTAGTTAAAACAATTTCTTGAACCTGTTGGTTTTTTCTATATAGACAGTTGTATCACATCATACCTTATACAAATAAGACAGTTTGTCCCTTCCTTTATATTTTTACTTTTGTCATTTTTTTTTTATCCCCTTGACTAGGAATCTTAGAACACTACTGATGACATGGCCTAGGATGCATAGTCAGTGCCATTACTAAAACTTACTTACATGTTTGTTTATACTGTGCCTTGTACCAGAGAGTAATTGCTGTAGTTGAGATTACAATGCAGGTCTCCCACATCAAGAACCGGCAAACTTTGCACACTCACCCCGTTCACACTGTCTATCCGACTGTCCTGCTATGGCGGAAGTGCCCTGATGGGCCATAGCTATTGGACTGTGTGCCTGTTGAGCACCTGAAATGGAACTAGAGTGACTGAGGAATCCTTTATTTCATGTTGATTTATGTTGTTTTAAATAGCCACCTATATGGACATGTGGATGTATGGACAGTATACCGCTAGACCATTTAAGATTTTAAAATAAGACTTTGCATATATATAAAAAAGTTATTGTTTTCCTGTGTGACTGGCCAGTATAAATGCTAAACTGCTTTTCTCTTTCTCTAGATTCCATCACTCAGCACAAGGTGTGTGCCTCTGAAAACTACGTGTTGCTGCAATGACGGAGACGTGGCGCAGTCCCTGGCCCCTGCGGACAGCTCGCAGAGTGGACTGCAGACACATCAGCAGCGAGGAGCAGAACCGTGAAGAGAAGGCCCCGCCGTAGAAAGGATGCCTCTCCGTCATCACGTTTGCCGTGTGTGTGTGCGTGTGATGGTTTTTATATAATGAAGCCCCTTTGTATGACTTTCTGGTGGCTGTGTGGTCCAGAGACACACTGACCGGCCCTATCTGGCCTTTCCTCTGTGATGCTGGTCTTTGTAACTAAAAGGTCACAGAACCTTTGTCATTGAAGACTATACTGTTAATAAAGCGTGGGGATTGATTCAAATGATCTTTATTACAAGATCAAAGAACCCCCTGAGTCTCTTAGCGAGACTCTAAGGTCTTATGACCCCATTGTGTCCTGGCTGTGAAGGATACTCATCAGTTATTAGCATTACTTTCATGTGCCTGAGATTCTTCCTAAAGTAATGGATGAGGGCAGGTGTGGGGGCCACAGTTAGTGGTCCTCAGGGCCACTGTGGGCTTGCCGCCCCCAGAGGAAACTGGCAGTGGACTGGACCGTGCACACGCTGACTGGTCACTTTCCCAGGGAAGAAGGGCTAAACCCCTACAAGGCTGCAGGTGCCCCTGAGACTCCCCGACACCTCCCTCTGCTTGTCTGTCACTCAGATCAGCTGTTATTCCTGCTGTAAATTTCAAGTCCCTCAACAACTATAATGGATGAACTTCTGGAATAAACCTTCAAGAAAGGAAGTAGCCATGCACACAGGAAATAAAGAAGGGCTTTCATTTGGATTTAGTATAACGTAACCAGCAATCCCTCAAAACACTCATGCCCGCGTAGCTGGACCTCAGTACAGCCCCGTGGTCTAGGCTGCGCCCATGCTAAAAACCTGGTATCATGTGCCCCTAAGCGCCCTAGGCTGCCCAGAAGCTCAGGTACTTTGGCAGAGCTCCCCCTAAACCAAGAGGACGCTGACAAAAATAGTGCTGGCTCCTGCTGGGGACAAACCACAGAGGATTTTCCATCCCCTGCCACAGCAACCATCGAGTGCCCCCCCAGCCATCTGTGTACCCGGGCCTGCACCCCCAGTGCTGAGTTCTGGTTCCGGACGGCAAGTCAAGATCCTCCTCTGAAAAGCTACCCACAAAGAGACACTGGTCTGTGCTGGCCATTACGCCAAGCATTTTACATGTGGTTCCTCAGCTCATCCACCCAACAATCCAGAAGTTAGTTATTATAGGTCTGAATCCCTTACCCAAAACGCCCAGGGCTAAAAGTACCTTTAATTCTGTTTTTCCTTTAATTCTGAAAGGTTTGTGGCTCTCAGCATTTCTGTTTAACACTGTATTGGAGATTCTACTCAGCGAGGAAGGAATGAAAGGCATGCAGATTGGAAATGAAGGAAAACTGTTCTCAGGTCACATGATGCTGTATGTTGAAAATTACAAGGAATCAAAAAACAATAAGCAAGATTACAGGACACAATATGTAAAACTAACTGAATTGTATTTCATCTACTATCAATGAACAATTCAAAAATGGAATTAACAGTGACATCTAATAATAAATAGTAAATTTTACGAAAGAAGTAAAAGACCTGGATGCTGAAACCTATAAAACATTGCTGAGAGAAATTAAACATCTAAATGAATGGAGAGTACACCAAGTTCATGGCTCAGAAGACTCAATATTGGTAAGATGGCAGTTCTCCGCAAATTGATCTATACGTTCAATGTTATCAAAAATCCCAGGTGGCTTTTTTATAGCATTTGAAAGGCTGATGCTAACTTTCATACAAAAATGCAAAGAATCCCAAACAGACAAAACAGTTAATAGAAAAAGAGTAAAGTTGGAGGATTCACACTGCTTGATCTCAAAACTTACTACATTAAACTACAGATATCAAGTAGTGCGGTACTGGCATAAAGACACAATGGAGATCAAGGAAAAAGAATAGAGAATCTAGGTACAAATCCTCATGTTGTGGTCACATGATTTACAACAAAGGTGCCAAAGGTAGCTCGATGCAATAGGACATTCTTTGAAACACATGGTCGTAGAAAAAGGGGGGAAAAATAAGACAAACAATGCACTTATGTCCTTACCTCACATGCAAAAAGAGAAAATGTGTACCGATCCTTACCTCACACCATACACAAAAATTAACTCCAAATGGAGCAGAATCCTTACCTCCAGGCCTCTCCACCTCAGCAGCACTAACTACGGACCAGATGATTCTGTGCAGGGTGGGTGGTGAGGGGGCCGCCCTGAGCACCACCGGATGTGCACAGCCGTCACGGGCCGCGGCCTGTCAGACGCCAGGGGCACAACCCACCCAGTGGCACAATCCAGATGTGTCCAGAAACCCACAGTGTCCCCTGGACAACAAAAGTGCTCCTAGCTGAGAACCAGTCACTTAATGTCAAAACCAAAATTAGGTTAGGCAAAAATTTCTTAAATAGACACTAAAGGCACAATTCACAAAGTAAATAAACCAGAGCTCATTAAAGTCAAAAAGGTTTTTGCTGTTCAAAAAAAACCATTAAAGAAATGAAAAGACAAGCCACAGACTAGGAGAAAATATTTACCTTATCTATAGTAGCAAACCATTTACCTAATAAAGGAATTACATCCAGATTATGTAAACAACTATTCATTAATAAGGTAAAGAATAGGCAAAAACATGTCACCCAAGAACACAGAGAAATGATAAATAAGTACATGGAAAGACGCTCACATCCGTCATTAAGAGAAATGCAAACTGAAACAAAGGGAGATGCCGCTACACACGCGGGAGTGCCTATAACCAGCAATTCTGAGAATGCCAACAGGTGCCCGGCCTGTGGAGAAACTAGAGCCCTCACACATTGCTGGTCTGAGTGCAAAATGATACAGCCACTTTGAAACCCATTTGGCAGTTTAAAAAATAAGAATAAACATACACTTGCAACTTTACTCCTAGACATGTACCCAAGAGGGATGGAAACATGGCTCTACAAGGACTTGCGCACAAGTGTTCATAGCAGCGCCATTCACAACAGCCAAAAGCTGTAAGCAATCCATCAACTGATACAGGGACCAGCAAAGCGGGTTGTGTCCATGCCATGGGCTGCCGCTCAGCAAAACAGAGCGAAGCGCCGATACATGCAACAGCATGGATTATCCCAGCCCCGAGTGAAGGAAGCCAGACGAAGACCACTTGTCATACGAGTCCACTGAGATACAATTTCTAGAGAGGGCAGAACCCACAGAGGCAGATAACCCGTCACTGGGAAGCGGGGTGGATGGCATGTGTGTTCGAGTGAGGGAAATCTTCTGAAACTGTACAATTCTATTATCTACTTAGTGAAATCATTGGCCTGCACACATCCAGTGGGTGATTTTTATGGTGCAGAAATTATACATCTATAAAGCTGTTTTTAAAAAGCTATGTGGCAACCACAGAGCTACAGCTCTTAGACCTCACTTCATGACAGAGCCTCTGCCCAGCGTAATGGGCACAGGGAGCCTCCAGCTCAGCCTTCCAGCCCAGGCCACACTCCTCCCGGGCAGTCAGGTGTGGGGGCAGGCGAAGTGGCAGGCGTGGGGACCCGGCTAATTCCACTAATCCGAGGCCCCTGTACCAGGCTTCAGCTTCAGAACCCGAGTCCCACCTGCACTTGGCGGGCGGCTCTCCCTGCCCACCGGCCTCCCCTCTCCTTAGCGGACCCTGCCTCCACCCCTTCACTGACCACAGACATCATTCCCATGAGCCTCTTGCTCTGAGCTCCTGTCGGCATCAGCCACCGCCCAGCAGCACCGCACACACCCCCGCACAGGGCCTGAGGCGCAGGCGGCACCTGATGCTTCTTCAGTGACACAACTCATGTTAATAGGACGCATAAAACTATTAGCAGTCTCATCTGTACCCCGTCAGATTTTGCCTTTAATTCATTTAAAGAGACCTGTTTTTCAGAGTTTTGGGATTTTGGAATTGTGGATAAGGGACTGTAGGACTCGAATTACTACCTATGGATACTCCACTTTTCAGAGATTCCATGACGCGCAGTCGCATCAACGAGTCAGCTCTGGAACACAGCGATCACCGCACCGTGCTGCGAGCTTGCCCAGGGCTCACAGTGCGGCTCCGAGTGTCTGTGGACTGGTCGGCATCAATTTTAAAATGGTTACCGAGGACGCACCGCATGCGGGTCCCCATCCTAAGCATTGTGTCCAGTAGACCTCATACAACCACATCATCTTTAAACTTAGAATCAAAGTATTTCCCAGAAACCTTCATGAAGAGTTGTCTTCAGCCTTCCTTACAGAGCAAGGCCCTTTGTTCAAATGGCGTTGCATTACATTTCACACAAGAAACAGATCACTTCAGAACTGCTCTGATTAAAAACCAGGAAGGCGAAAGGGGAGGGCTCCAGATCTTCACTCAACAGGTGCCTCCCCTGGCCCACAAGGAGGGCTCCCCGTGCCTCTGCTGGACTTCGGAGGGAGCGTCCCCACCACCTGTCAGTCCAGTCCACCGACAGAGTAGCTGACACCTCCTCATCCAGCTGATGAGCAGTGATTCCACGAAAAGAACCTCTCCCACAGTGTGTTTTCTCTTTGCACATTCAAGACGGTCCAAACTGAAGTTGTCAGTGCATAAGGGATACTTTTGATCAAACTCAGCAAACTGCTCTGAAAGTCAAACATCACACACTGGAAAGATGATCACAAAGGAAATCACTTGATGTCGTCAATTAAAGTTGGGGCATTGTGCTGTTGTTTTCATTTGTCTCCGTATATCGCTCGATCTCTGTTTTGATTTGGTTATTGATCCATTGATTATTTAGGAGTATGTTGTTAAGCCTCCATGTGTTTGTGACCCTTTTTGTTTTCTTTGTACAATTCATTTCTAGTTTTATACTGTTGTGATCTGAGAAGTTGGTTGGTAGAATTTCAATCTTTCTGAATTTACTGAGGCTCTTTTTGTGGCCTAATATGTGGTCTATTCTGGAAACTGTTCCATGTGCACTTGAGAAGAATGTGTATCCTGCTGCTTTTGGGTATAGAGTTGCACAGATGTCTGTTCAGTCCATCTGTTCTAATGTGTTGTTCAGGGCCTCTGTGTCCTTACTTATTTTCTGTCTGGTTGATCTGTCCTTTGGAGTGACTAGTGTGTTGAAGTCTTCTAAAATGAATGCATTGCATTCTATTCACCCCTTTAATTCTGTTAGTATTTGTTTCACATATGTAGGTGATCCTGTGTTGGGTGCACAGATATATATATAGTGGTTATATCCTCTTGTTGGACTGACCCCTTTATCATTATGTAATGTCATTCTTGTCTCATGTTATTTTCTTTGTTTTGAGGTCTGTTTTGTCTGATACAAATACTGCAACACCTGCTTTTTTCTCCCTATTGTTTGCATGAAATATCTTTTTCCATCCCTTCACTTTTAGTCTGTGTATGTCTTTGAGTTTAAGGTGAATCTCTTGTAAGCAGCATATAGATGGGTCTTACTTTTTTATCCATTCTGTTACTCTGTGCCTTTTGATTGGTGCATTCAGTCCATTTACATTTAGGGTGATTATCGATAGATATGTACTTATTGTTATTGCAGGTTTTGGATTCGTGGTTACCAAAGGTCCAAGGGTGGCTTCTTTACTATATTTCTAACTTAACTCACTTACTACACTATTATAAACACAGTCTGATGATTCTTTATTTCTCTCCCTTCTTTTTCTTCCTCCTCCACTCTTTATGTTTCCCTTGACTGATTTCATGTGTAGCTGATTTTGTTTTGCATTTAGTTAGTATTTGGTTGGCCTGCTTTCTTTGCTGTGGTTTTATTTTCTCTGGTGACATGTATTTAGCCTTAGGAGCAGTCCCTTTAAAATACACTGTACAGACGGTTTGTGGGAGGTAAATTCCCTCAATTCTTGCTTATCTGGGAATTGTTTAATTCCTCCAAATTTAAATGATAATCTTGCTGGATACAGTATTCTTGATTCAAGAACCTCTGTTTCATTGCATTGAATATATCATGCCACTCCCTTCTGGCCTGTAAAATTTCTGCTGAGAAGTCTAATGATAGCCTGATGGGTTTTCCTTTGTAGGTGATCTTTTCTCTCTCTCTGGCTGCTTTTAATACTCTGTCCTTGTCTTTGATCTTTGCCATTTTAATTATTATATGTCTTGGTGTTGTCCTCCTTGGGTCACTTGTGTTGGGAGATCTGTGGATTTCCATGGTCTGAGAGACTATTTCCTTCCCCAGATTGGGGGAAGTTTTCAGCCATTATTTCTTCAAAGACACTTTCTATCCCTTTTTCTCTCTCTTCTACTTCTGGTACCCCTATAATGCAAATACTGTTCCATTTGGATTGGTCACACAGTTCTCTTAATATGCTTTCATCCCTGGAGATCCTTTTATCTCTCTCTGGCTCAGCTTCTCTGTGTTCCTGTTCTCTGATTTCTATTCCATTAACAGTCTCTTGCACCTCATCCAGTCTGCTCTTAAATCCTTCCATTGTTTGTTTCATTTCTGTTATCTCCCTCAGGAATTCATCCCTTAGCTCTTGCATATTTCTCTGTAGCTCTTAAATCCTTCCATTGTTTGTTTCATTTCTGTTATCTCCCTCAGGAATTCATCCCTTAGCTCTTGCATATTTCTCTGTAGCTCCATCAGCATGCTTATGACTTTTATTTTGAATTCTTTTTCAGAAAGATTGGTGATTTCAGTCTCACCAGGCTCTCTCTCTGGTGTTTGAGTGATTTTGGACTGAGCAAAGTTCTTCTGCCTTTTCATGGCAATGGGAGTGGTTGCTGGTGAGTGGCGCGTGTGTCAGCTGGGAGAACAAAGTCTCTTCCTGCTTGCTGGTCGCCTTGCCCATCCCTGCTGCCTGTGCCAGTCAACCGCACACAGGGAGCAGCCTCTGGGTTAATCCCCTGAGCTGCCGTGGGATGGCCTAGGGCCCTGGCGGGGGTTGCAGGCAAGCAGCACATGTTCACCATGAGAACAAAGCCCCTTTGTGCCTTCTGGACTCTGCGCGGGTCTCCACTGTCTGTGTCTGTCAGCTACATACAGGGGGCAGCCTCTGGGTCTGGGTCGGTCAGCCGTGCGCAGGGAGAAGCCTCTGTGTGGTTGCTGTGGATGGGGCTGCTCTCTGGCTGCTCCGCAGCAATGGCAGGTCATCTGGTTTTCTTGCAGTGCCGGTGGGGGAGACTGGACAGCAGGCTGCTTATCACTGTGAGGGGCTTCGGAGCTGCATTGCCACCTAGGGTATTAGGGCGGCTGAAGTTCCTTAAAGTTCCCAGCCTGCTGGGCTGAGTGTGCCAGAACGATTTTATCCACCTGTTAAATCCTTGTCCCTTTAAGACCTTTAGAGCGCCCACTTTTCTTTTGTCCCAGGGCAGCCGACTGTGGGAACCTGTTCGCAGTCTTAGTCTCGGATTTTACTTTTCCGTTCCTCCAGTATCCAGCACACCATGCGATGTGTGTGTGCGCTGCCGGTGCAGGTTACTAGGGCTGGTTACTCAGCAGTCCTGTGCTTCCACTCCCTCCCCGCTCGGATTCTTTTTCTCCCGCCGGTGAGCTGGGGTCGGGGGAGTGCTCGGGTCCCGCCGGGTCATGGCTTTGTATCTGACCCTTTTCCGTGAGATGTTGAGTTCCCGCAGATGTAGATGTA